CGTCAGGCTCTGGGCTGATGGCTCAGAGCCTGACGCGGGGCTCGAACCCACGGACCGCGAGATTGTGACCTGGCTGAAGTCGGACGCTTAACCGACTGCGCCACCCAGGCGCCCCTCTTTTGTTTTTTTAATGTTTATGTTTCAAGAGACAGAGCGTGAGCGGGCGAGGGACAGAGAGAGGGACAGAGGGACAGAGGGAGACGCAGAATCTGAAGCAGGCTCCAGGCTCCGAGCTGTCAGCACAGAGCCCAGCACAGGGCTCGAACTCAGAAACCACGAGATCATGACCTGAGCCAAAGTCGGACGTCTAACCGACTGAGCCACTCAGGTGCCCCTCAGATATATTTTCAAGAACCAAATGTCTTTCTTGTTTCGTTTTTAGTGGATGACAAGACCCATTTGTTGATCTTTTCATCCCATTTCCATAAGTCCACCTGTTTGAGTTACCCACCTGCCGCATAATCACTTTCGTAATTCAGATCTCATAAGGGGATTAAATGGAGAAATTATGTACATATACACGTACCCAGTTTACAAATGATAAACTACCCATTTTTTAAATCCCAAGCTGACTTTTCACTATCTGATGTTTTGTTTGTTTGTTTGTTTCATTCCTTCTGAGTCTCTGAACAATTTGACTATACAAATCTCCAGTGCTCAAGAATAATCCTCAAGTCTGGGCTAATTCTTTGAACCCGTTTCTTTCTCTTTTTTCCTCTTGTTCTCTGAGTGTTTTTTCCAGTTGTCAAATCTAAGAAGCCCCTATAGAAGCTTTTCTCTGTTTGAGTCCAACAAAATAGGATTCATACCAAGCCTCAATTTATTTATTTACAATTTTGTAGTTTTGTGGCGGTGGTGGTTTAAATAGCACTTTTGTCCGAAGAGCCACATGTCTGGATGTGCCCTAGATTCCTTGTTTCCTCTAGACCGGGCGTCGATCCAAGGCTTTCCAAAACGTCCACAGGATACCCTGAAGTGCTAGGCCTTAGGGAGAATAAAGATATAGAAAAGATGGTCTCTTTCAACTTCAGTTAGAGTGATCAGATGGCATACACACACCTTTGGGGCAAAGGTTTCCATTTCTGTGGTGTCGACAAAAGACAAAAAACGAAGACAGATAGAAGCTGAAAGATGGGCGTTGTGGGCTGGGGTTCTAAGTGACAGTGGGATTTGAGCCACAGCCCTGAAGACAACATAGAACTTGAGCCACCAGGAGGTACAGCGTAAGAGAAGGCGCCGAGAGAGAGGCTGGGATTACTTAAAGGGTGTGTTTCTCCTAGCCTGC